GGGGGGGGGGGGGGGGGGGGGGGGGCATTAGGGTTGAGGGTTTGTTATATAATTTTTTTTGAGACTTTAGAAACCCTAGAGGCCCGATAGAAACCCAAACCCCGGATCGTCCTCAGAAGGCTCCTCTTTCGCCTTTTCAGGAGATGAGTTAGGGTTTATAGGCGGTTTAGGGTTCGGGTTCATGGCTTAGGGTTTAGCGCTTAAGCTTTATCGAATGCTCCGGAGCCTATAGAGATTAGAAAAAGCCGGTCACCAGATGCCCCGCTTTAACTCGAGAGGCCTCCTGAGCGCGACGGCTTATGCAGAGCTCTCCAGCCGGGTGGTGGCCGCTGGGTCGGTGTACGCGTATGCCCAGGCTTATGGTCCGCTCTCTCTCTCTCTCTCTTTCCTTCTTTGTTTCTTTCTTTGTTTCTTTATTTCGTTCTTTCTTTCTTTCTGTCTCTCTCTCTCTCGCCCTGTTTGTGTGCTTTAAGGGGGGGGGAGGGCTTCGGGTTCCGGCCTTCGGTGCCTGCGAGAAAAAAAATCGGCGGGTTTTCCTTTGATTCGAGAGCCTCTGGAATCTACAGTAAAAGGCCGTAAAGGATGCTGAGCTGGGCTTTCAAGAAGGGTTTAACCTCAGCTGCACCGGTCTTTCCGGGGGGGTTAGGGTTTAGGGTTTAGGGTCTAGGATTTAGGGTTGAGGGTGTAGGGTTTAGGGTTTAGGGTGTAGGGTGTAGGGGTATTGACACGTGAGCTTCTCCTGAAGGCGACGGGCTTGGGGAGGTCGACGATGGCAGTGGCAGCGCTGTGTCTCATAGCACCTGGGCACAAGCGTGTGCCCTGAGCCCTACTTCGTAGCCCGGTGGTACCCCTTTTCCCTCTTGTTCCCTTTTCAAGGTTCACTTTTCAAATTAACTCACCAAAACCCGAAAAACGCATGCAGCTTGCGTCCAAAGGATACTTGCCCTAAACCAAAGGACACTTCTGGAGTTGCCCTAAACCCCTAAACCCCTAAACCCCTAAACCCCTAAACCCCTAAACCCCTAAACCCCTAAACCCCTAAACCCCTAAACCCCTAAACCCCTAAACCCCTATACCCCTAAACCCCTAAACCCCTAAACCCCTAAACCCCTAAACCCCTAAACCCCTAAACCCCTACACCCCTAAACCCCTAAACCCCTACACCCCTAAACCGGGGAAAGGTCGAATACTCCTGGAGCTGTGCCGCAGTGGCTGTGGACTGGTCGGGGAAGCTCCTGCGTGCGAACTCAGGGCTACTCGAGGCGCGCCGGTTCGTTATTATTATTTTATTTATGTATTTTTTTATTTATTTATGTATTTATTATTCTTATTTTTTTTTTTGGGGGGGGGGGGGGGGTGGGGGGCTTTGGGGTTTATAGGGTTCATAGGGTCTAGAGGGTCTAGAGGGTTTAAAGAGTTTACAGGGTTGTTGCAGGGCTTACATTTGGGGACTTTTATAGGGTTTGGGGTTTTGAAGTTTGGGTTCTTTTGGGACTTATCTGTCGTGGGTGGGGTTGGGGCGGGTCTAGGGTTTGTGGGGGCTTAAGGGGCTTTTTGGCTTTAGTATAATCAGGGATCCCCTCGTACAGACTAGGATTCCATGTATAGTAAGGACCCCATTAAGGTACCCCCGAATATCGTAAGCCACTAAAGAACTTGGGGACTCTAGGGCGCCTGAGTGTGTTTAGGGTTTAGGGTTGAGGGTTTTAGGGGGTTTAGGGTCTAGGTTTAGGGTTTAGGGTTTGGTGCTTCAGCCTTGTTCAGGTCAGTTTTCTGGACCCCGCCGTGTTGCTGGTGCTCCTTTGCACTGCCTTGCTCTTGGGCTTACAGTTCAAAGTTTAGGGTTTAGGGTTTAGGGTTTCGGGTTCAGAAGTGAAGAACCTTCCTAAACCAAAGCCCCACCCAAGGCCCCACTTGGGCCTCAGAGCATGTTGTTTTCTGGAGGGGGGGGGGGGGATGATCATGATCTACATGACAAGACCTTTGGTTTGGGTTTCCTAAACTGCAAAGGGCGCATGTATTTGCACTGAAGACCCCGATTAGCCAGGATAGCGTAAGCCAAGTGCCACAGGCCCTTAGACCTTAAGCGCAAAAAACTCCCGAGAAAAACGAAAAGCAACCTGCGAAAGGCCGGACAAGGCCCTCCAAAGCCCGTAGGGTTTAGGGCTTAGGGTGGTTTAGGGTTTAGGGTGTAGGGTTTAGGGTGGGTTTAGGGTTTAGGGTTTAGGGTTTAGGGTTTAGGGTTTAGGGTTTAGGGTTTAGGGTTTAGGGCTTAGGGCTTAGGGCTTAGGGCTTAGGGCTTAGGGTGTAGGGTGTAGGGTTTAGGGGTCCCATGAGGCCCTATAGGAGGCCCCTTTAAGTGAGCCGAGGCTGGCCAGGGGCACCAAGGTCTCCAAGCTCTTCACAAACGTCAGCACCGCCGCGCGCCGGCCGCAAGAGCTTCGACGACTGGTTTATGGTTTAGGGTTTAGGGTTTAGGGTTTAGGTTAACACGCCCTGGACGTGTTGGAGGCTTAGCGTCTATAGGGTTTCGGGCCAGTTTAGGGTTAGGGTTTCGGGCTAGGGTTTAGGGTTTAGGGTTTGGGGTTTAGGGTTTGGGGTTTAGGGTTTAAGGTTTAGGGTTTAGGGGATTGTAATTCAGAGCTTGGCTGAAGGGGCAATGATGTCGTTGTCGTGTGTTGCTTCGGATCCCGCTACAAGCCTCGCACGAGAACACTGACTGGGCTCAGGGAGTCAGAAGAACCCTAAACCCTAAACCCTAAACCCAAAAAACAGAAACGAAACGTCTGCAGGTTTTGGGGTGTCAGGGCTTGGGCTTGAGTTCTTGCGGGGCGCCAGGGTTTCCAGATTTTGGCCGAGGGTCCCCTTCGAATCCCCCGGCAGCATCTTAAAGAAGGTCATCTCGACCCCAAGAAGGGGCCCTAGACCCTAGACCCCTGAACTGAAAACCTTAAACCCTAAACCTAAACCCTAAACCTCCCAAACCCTGAACCTCCAAAGCCCCATACAAAGGCGAAGCTTGGGCTGATCTTCTTTCTCATCGCCACGTCGCTCGCGGCCTTCGATGCCAAGAACTTGCAGCCCTTCATCCCCCAGGAGAAGCGCGACAAAGCGTTTAGGGTTTAGGGTTTAGGTTTAGGGTTTAGGGTTTAGGGTTTGGGGTTTAGGGTTTAGGGTTTAGCGTTAGGGTTTAGGAGCGCCGTTTAGCTGTATCTCACCCAATGGCCACCCACCCAAAAACATTAAACCCTACAGACCCGAACCCTAAACTTCCCTAAACCCTATGCCGAAACCCAGAAACCCCAAAACCCTAAACCCTGAACCCTGAACCTAAACCCTAAACCCTAAACCCTAAACCCTAAACCCTAAACCCTAAACCCTAAACCCTAAACCCTAAACCCTAAACCCTAAACCCTAAACCCTTTCACAGATCCGCCTAACTTTCTCTCCCCAGCCTGACCAGGAGTACGGCATCGCGGGCGTTCTGCGCGGAGCCACCGACTCCTTCTTTGGCTTCCTTGGCTTTGATGCCGTGTGCGCCTTGGCCCTCGACACCAAGGACGCAAGAGGGGGGGTTTAGGGTTTAGGGTTTAGGGTTTAGGGTTTGGGGGTTTGGGGGTTTGGGGGTTTGGGGGTTTAGGGTTTAGGGTTTAGGGTTTAGAGCTTAGGGGGAGTTCTATAGACTTTGGGGGGCGGGGTGGGGGGGGTAGATGGCCACAAAACCATGTGGTTGAAGGCTTTCGGAGAACAACCTAAGACAAACTCGGCTGGAAGAAAAGAAGGGAAGAGAGCAGCTCAACCCGAAGCCCGAACCAAAAGCATCCAGGAGAGCCCGCGATTATCGGGATCCTTCAACTCTCTCCCCCCAAAGGGGAGTAACCCTAAACCCTAAACCCTAAACCCTAAACCCTAAACCCTAAACCCTAAACCCTAAACCCTAAACCCTTAGCTAAACCCTTAACCCTAAACCCTAAACCGTAAACCCTAAACCCTAAACCCTAAACCCCCCCTCTCCGCCCCCCCAAAGAGCTCTGCCCGAGTCCTGTCAGCAAGCTCGCACCATGCCGCTGCTTCACCCCTAAACGCACCCCCCCCCCCCCCCCCCCCGCTACACCCCCTCGACCCTGAGCCCTCTACCTTTTTGGGCCCTAGAACCCTCTAACCCTAAACCCCCAAGCCCCTGAAACCCTGAAAAAAGCCCCTGAAACCCCCAAGCCCCTAAAACCCCCAAAACCCCCACAAAAACCCCCAAAAGCCCCGAAAAACCCTGAAAAACCCCCCTACAAACTCGACGTCGGAGGATGCCCGCAAAGTGGTGCCCTCGGCTCTCTTCCTTGGCCTCTTCGTCTCAGGTGGCCTCACGTGCCTCGCAGGCGACTGGGTTCTAGGGTTTAGGGTTTAGGGTTTAGGCGATGAGGTCCTGGGGCTCAGAGAGTTCTGGGGATTTGGGCCTCGAGAGTTCTTACGGTTCTCGGGTTCTAAGTTAGGTTAGGTGCTGGGGTTTTTGGGTTTCGGGAAGTGGTGTACGACATCTGTGCTATACCCTTCTGAAATCATGCGGGCCCTTGTAGTACGCAGACAGGACCGTAGTTCAAGAAAAAACCGACCACTTGACGCAGGCGAGTCTTGGAATCGGCAAAGTCGGATTTTTCACATGCCCAGACCCTTGAAAGATGTAACCTAAACCCTAAACCCTAAGCCCTAAGCCCTAAACCCTGAGCCGTAAGCCCTAAACCCTAAACCCTAAGCCCTAAGCCCTAACCCTAAACCCTAAACCCTAAACTCTAAACCCTAAACCCTAAACCCTAAACCCTAAACCCTAAACCCGCCCCAAACCCCCGGGAGGCTTCGCCCTCGTCGCGGCAGTGCCCGCGGCCAGCGTGGATCCAGCGGCGGGCTTTGTGTCGGCCCTATGGTCGCAACCCTTTGGACGTTTTTAGGGTTTATAGGGTTTAGGGTTTGGGGTTTGGGGTTTAGGTTTAGGGTTCAGGGTTTTCTGGGGTATTTAGGGTTTATATCGAGGGTTTAGGGTATGGAGGGTTGCCCTGGTCGTCGCCATGGATTTGTTAAGTCCCACAAAAAAACCCTGGAGCCCAGTAAGCGCCAAGGCTGCCTCCGGCAAAAGCCCCACAAGCACTAGGGGCAAGCTCAAAAAACAAAGCAAAAAAGCCCGAAAGAATCTCTGACCAATAACGCCCCCGTCAGTGCCCTCTCTACATTGGGGAGGTTTCCTGAAAATAGGGGTACCCCCCCCAAAAAAACCCTAAACCCTAAACCCTAATCCCTAAACCCTTATCAGCCCTAAACTTTTTTTTTTTTGGGGGGGGGGGGGGGGGAGTTCCCTCTAAGGGATGTTCATGCTCTTCTATTGGGGCACAAACGGGCCAATGACCCCTATGTCCCAAAATCAGCCCTATAGAAACCCTACTTAGGGTCTTCAAAAAGAAGAACTTGGTAGTGGAGTAGGTAGCCTTTAACCTTTTTAGGTTCATATATTCCCCTTTTAATCCCAAAGGTTCACCTTTTTAAAACCCCTAGGTACTGGACAACTAAGAGAAGCAGAGAGGCTTTCGAGATCCTGGGTAACGACTTTGCCGCCGCCGTCGTGGCCGCACCCCTGCCGCACTTGCGAGAAGCCTGCTGAGCTGTTTTTGTTTTGTATTTGTTTGTTTCTTGGGGAATTTTAGAGTCTTGGGGTTTGGGGTCTAGGGTTTGGGGTTCTGGCTTAGGGTTTTGGGGTTTGGGGCTTGGGGAGCTTGAGTTTGGGCTTGCTGTTGGAGTATTAGAGAGTGAGCAGCTGGGGGCTGAGGAGGAGAGCTTGACTTTGACGGCGTGTTTTTCCGGGACCTTGGATTTACCGGGTTTAGGGCCTTAGAAGGTATCCATGGGTATCCTAAACCCTAAACCCTAAACCCTAAACCCTAAACCCTAAACCCTAAACCCCAAATCCTAAACCCTAAACCCTAAACCCCTGAAGGGAACCTGTCTTAGGGTGTGCGGTGTGAGGCCATTTTGCACACAGACGAAATGTGATGGGTTCCAAATTTAGGGGCCCTCAGGCCTTAACGCCGTATAACCCTCAACCCTAAATCTTAGACCCCCTATGCCCTATACGCCCTATACGCCCTACGCCCTACGCCCCCACCCCCTTACCCCCTACCCCCTGCCCAGGTAGGGGAGTTGCTGGTACTTCCCGTGGTGGCCTTTGGATGCTTGTTGCCACTGGGACGCTTGCTCTGCTGCCTGGCAGAGGACTCCTTGAAAACAGGGTTGAAGGGTTGAAGGGTTTAGGGTTTAGGGTTTAGGGTTCAGGGCTTAGGGTGGACCTTGAATCAAAGCCTCCCTCCCCGGCTTGTAAAAGCTGCAGTGGCTTGCCCTATGAAGCCTCAGACTTTCAGAGCTCTCTTCAAAGGCCCCTGAGATTCGAGGACGGCTTCCTACCATCTCAGTTGGCGCGTCGGGATGCTGACCAGCCACTCCTGGCGACCTTGCTGGGAGGTACGGCCACAGCCCTGTGCGCGGGACTGGTGCCTTTCGAGGAGCAGAACTTGGGGGGTGGGGTTTCCGAACATTAATAACAAGGGGGGAGGGGGTTCCCATTGTGAATATGGTGAGGATTTTGCTGTCTTGGGGGCGTCGGCACCCCCCACCCGCATGTTGGGAAACGCACAGGCTGTCGTGGTGAGAGCAGAAGTCTTTATGAGGTCTAGTAACTCTAGTACTTAGCAAATGCTTCTTGAAAGCCCTTGCCAACCAGCTGTCCAGATTTTGTCGCCTCAGTTCCTAAACCCTGAACCCTGAACCCTGAACCCTAAACCCTAAACCCTAAACCCTATTAGTCCAGTGAACCCCTTCGCTCTCATCCTTCCTTTCGCTGGAACGAGGACTTAAACGACATCTGCAGCGCGGCAGTTCTCACCTGCTTTACTTTGGCGTCGGTGTCGGCGGTCGTGGCACGACAAAAAGGCCGTCATTAGCTCTAGTAAAGTCCCCCTTAAAGACCCACTCTAAACAGATGTGCACCAAGAGATTACAACCAGACACAAGGCTGCCGTCCCTGCATCTCCAAGCAATTTCAGAACCTAAACCCTGAACCCTGAACCCTAAACCCTAAACCCTAAACTCTAAAGCCTAAACCCTAAACCCTAAACCCTAAACCCTAAACCCTAAACCCTAAACCCTAAACCCTAAACCCTAAACCCCCCCCCCCCCCCCCTGTAAAAGGTGCCTTGCAAGCGCAGCTCCGCGATCTCCTGGCCGGCTTCGTCTTCTGTGCATCTTGGTAGCCCAGTGGTACCCTTTTCCCTTCTTTTGGGGTTCAAGGTTCCCTTATTAAAAAACAACCAACCCAAAAAAGGGTTTAGGGTTTAGGGTTTAGGATTTAGGGTTTAGTAAAGTTTAGGGTTTAGGGTTTCTGGGCTACCAAGGCATTTCTGGCCCTCCTGCTGCTGTCGCCGCGCTGGACCACGGACGCCGCGCTGGCCCCGACGGTGCTTCGCTGGCTCGGAGCTGAAGGCATGGCTACGGGGTGCTTGACCTCAGAACTTTCCGCCCTCTTTAGGGTTTAGGGTTTAGGGGTTTAGGGGTTTAGGGGTTTAGGGGTTTAGGGGTTTAGGGGTTTAGGGGTTTAGGGTAAAGGGTAACTTAATGCAAAAATGGGGTGGGGGGGGGGGGTGCAAGAATCCCGATGAAGGACTGTTAGTATATACCGGGGGACATCCCAAGTTAAAGGCCCTAAAGCTCCATACCCGCCCTCAAGCTCCTTGAGCCCTAAAGCCCTGTCAACCCTGCAAACCCTGCAAACCCGAAGCCTTGTAACCTCAAACCTTGTAAGCCCTAAAAACCCAGTAAATCCCTAGAGCCCTGTAAGCCCTAAAAAACCCTGCAAACCCCAAAAGCCCTGTAGACCCGAACATCCCTGCAAAACCTGTACTTTGCGAGCCCGAAAACCAAACCCTAAACCTTCTAAACCCTAACAACGCCTGAACCTTCTAAACCCTAACAACCCCTAACAAAGCCCAAAAGCCCTGTAGACCCCCAGCCAGACAGAGGAGGCCAGCTTGCCTGGCTCGACCTCATCGCGCTGCTCGCAGCCTTCGCTGCCGCGTCGGGCGCGCTGCGGCTCCAGCAGCTGGCGCAGGACGGCGGGTTTTAGGGTTTAGGGGTTGAGGGCTTTCGGGGGTTGAGGGGGTGAGGGTTTAGGGTTTAGGGTTCAAGGTTCAGGGTTTAGGGTTCAGGATTGAGGGTTTCGGGCTTAATGGGTTCAGGGGTTGAGGGTTCACGAGTGAGGGTGGGGGGGGTCCATTGACGCTGGGGCCCACTGAGCAACAATCCCGGGCTTTGCAGAACATCCCCGGGCCAGCAATCCCAACGAACACCCAAACCCTATACCCGAAACGCCAAACTTCAAACCCCAAACCCCAATTCCATCCTGCGCGCCCCTCCACCCCCGAAAACCCAAGCTAGAAACCCCCAAAGGAATGAAGCCTTCTGACACAAGGAAAGCCTAAAGCCCCCGTCCTTCTACAAGCTACAAGAAGGCCCAAGACCCCCCAGCCACCCACCTTTCTTTTGGAAACAAGAAGCCTCCTTCCCGAACGTTGCTACAAGGCGGCTACTCCAAAACTTCGAAGCCCTATAGGCCCGAAACCCCCACAGCCCGAGAAAGGATGCAAAGTCGGGGGACGGCTTGGCCTTCCCCATTTCCGTCCACCTCTCCTCTGTCCTGGCCTCCCTAGGCCTTCTGACCACCCTCCCGGCCCTTTGGAGCGAATGAAGGATTGCTTTGTCGGGTTTACGTCTGGTTGTGCTCGGTTTTGGTTGGGGGGGGGGGGGATTTGGGACGCATTCTAGGGTTGTTGTGGCTGCTTAGGCTGGTATGCTTGGGGTTGTGCTTGGCTCGCAGGCCTGCAAGCACAAACTCACCTGCAGATGACAGGGGCATTCCCCCAGAAGGCAGGTAGGTACCCAACAGCCCACTGTCTTGTTTTTGAGGGGGGACGGGGAGGAGTGGGGGCTACACGAACCCTTCAAGAAGCCCGTGCAGACCCCAACCCTAAACCCTAAACCCAGGGCCAGGGAGGGCAAAGCCTTCCTGGCTGCGTCACGCACGTAGGGTTTAGGTTTCAGGGTTTAAGGGTTTAAGGGTTTTCTGGGTTTAAAGGCTTATCGTATTACTCCAAATCGACGACCGTCGGCTATGGCGGTCGCCTCCTGAAGGCCCTGCCACAAAAGCAGCTCCGCTAGCCCTTACATGTTGCTGCCCACGTGGCTGAGAACAGAGCCCCCTTGCTAGGGGATTTGGGGGGGGGGGGGGGGGGGATGTGGGTAGAACCCTAAACCCTAAATTGAGCATAAGAAGAGGAAGCCTCTTCCCTAAACCCTACACCGCCTACACCCTAAACCCAAATCCCTAAACCCTGCCCAAGCAAGTCGGACCGAGGCCTACAGCCTGGTCACGTGCACGGCGGCCCTGGCCGCTGTCTGGGTCGCCGCTTGAGGCGCGCCAGGGCAACAACCAGACACCCCGAAACGCACCCCCTGCAAGACGCCCTTAGGATTCGGTTTTTTGGGTTTAGGTTTAAGGGTTAAGGGTTTAGGGTTTAGGGTTTGGGATTAGGGTTTAGGGTTTAGGGTTTAGGGTTGACCCTAAACCCAGGGGCTTCTGATCCATGGACCCCTGATCAGTCCGCCTTCGGAGCCCGCCTGCTCGAGATGACAGCACGCCTGGCTGGTGCCAGCACCGGTGCCGAGCTGCAGGGCGGCGCAGTCCTTTCATGCCTAGGCCTTGAGAGCCAAAGGCGGGCGCGCGAGCTTGCAGAACAGCTTGAGGGCACCCCTCCTCGAACTGCAGAGGTTGCTGACCGTGGCTGGATCTGAAGCCAACGGAGCCTTCCATTCTAAACGCCGCTAGTACCGCGAGAAGAGGGGTGCGGGCAAAATGAGCAAGCCCCCAGGGAGTCCTAATAATTCTAAGGTTGACAAAATAGGAACCCCATGTCCCCCCCAGCCCTGTAGTACCCTTGATCCTTTTTTTGGGTTCTGCGATGTTCTGGGCAAACTTATGCAATCACCCACCCCACAAAAGGGTGCCCTCATCATACGGTGGGCTACCAAGTCGGGGTTCGCAGGGCTTACAGGGCTTAGGGGGGCCCTAGGGTTTAGGGTTTAGGGTTTAGGGTTTAGGGTTTAGGGTTTAGGGTTTAGGTTTAGGGCTAAACCCTAAATTACTAAACCCTAAGACCCTGAAGGGTGTGCAGTACGGCCTTTCGCCGAGCAGGCAACGGAGTGCTTGGCCGTGGCCCGAAGCCAGGTCGCCTTAGATGAGCCCCAAACGTTTCAGCCCTCCTTGCCGTCCTCACTTAGAGGCGCCTCACGCTCCTTACCCCGGCTAAGCCTTAAGCCGCAAGCCTCAACCCTCCCCAACTAAGAGTCTTCGAATTAGGCCGACCCGAGCCATGGCTTTTGATAAGCGGTGGCTGGCAGCTCTGGCATTGAATGCACTGGGCTGCTTCTTGCTCTACGAGCTGCTTGGAGCAAGCAGGGCTTTGAGGTGGCGCTCAGGAGTTTCTTAGGGTTTAGGGTTTCGAGTTTCGGGTTTAGGGTTTAGGGTTTAGTTTGGGGTTCCGGGTTTCGGGTTTCTTTCGAGCTTTCCGCTGCCTCTCTCTTGGGGTCTGCGGGTGCGGATGCTTTTGCAACGCGTAGTCTTGGTTGGCTTCAAGTCGACGGTCTGTCGACTTGTCAGCGGGGCCTCGATCTTGCTTGGTGTCATTTTGGCAGGGATACTTCCTCTAATGATTGAACCCAAGAGTGGGAAGCGCCAACTCTGAGTAAGCAAGTGTTTTTGTACGTGAGTTTGCACCAAGTCCTACATCTCAACACCTTCGCCACAAAGCTGCAGCCGAAGAAGCCCTATAAACCCTTAATCCGCCCAGACACACACCGCCTGTAACACCCTGAAATCCTTAAACCCTTAATGCCTCCTGGAGCCCACCCAAGAAATCACACGAACTTCGACCCCCTAATTTCGCTGGTATACTTGAATATACTGACTTATTTTTGATATTCTTATTGCCTTTATTGTTACTTAACATTATTGTCTCTTCCCAGGTTCGCGAACCTGAATCTCTGGAGCCTCCCTGATTCCGGGCGCGAGCCTCCGAGCTCGGCGGCAAAGAACGCCGGGCGCAGGCTGAGCCAAACTAAGGCCGATGGGGTTTAGGGTTTGGGGGTTTAGGGTGTAGGGTTTAGGGTTTAGGGTTTAGGGCTGAGGGTGTAGGGTTCCCAGCACACGCCAAGCTTCCGAAAGGACGTCCAAGCCCAACAGCTCAGCACGAAGTTTGTTTTGGGCTGTGAATGGCTTGGACTTACGGTGCGGGTGCATGCAGGCTTCTCGGTTTAGGGTTGGTGCTCATTAGGGTTTTCGGGCGGCCACTAGGACCCAGAGTAAGCGCTTATTCCCGTTTTTTTCGGGGAGCGGTGGGGGGGGGGGGGTTTAGGTTCCCTTAGCAGCCCCTCTAAACCAAAAAGGGCACCCTTTTTCTTTCTAGACTACTCTTGGGTCCAGGTTAGTGGTCAGGGTCCAAGCTAGAGATTGTTGGATCACGTTGGGTTCTCTCCTATAGATCGATATTCATTGTCTGTTTACGCCCCTAAGCCCCGAACCCCAAGCTGCCTGAAGACCTTAAGCGAAGCCCTAAAACCTTGCGCCCCATAAACAACTCCTGTCCCTAAGCAGGGAGGGGGGGGGGGGGAGGGGGCAGAGCGGGGTGGGTTAGGGCCCGTTTTCGGGTTCGTTGTGTTTGTCAGTGTTTCGGGTTTAGGGCCTATACAAGGAGGGGCCTTATAACCCAATTTACAGTTCTTGTAACTCTACTTATAACTAGGGGGGCCCCTCCTTGTAGGGATAGTCCGAAATTTTCGAGGAATCCTAAGATGCAGGTCGAGATCATCGATGGGCTCTTCCATCAGGATGGTAAGAAGATCGGCAGGCACCCGGGTAAGATCTTCGGTGCCCCGGCCTCGACATGAAAGGGGGCTGGGACTTTGGACTTCCAGCATCTTAGAGGCTCCTTTTGAGGTGTTCTGGGCGGTGGAGGGCAGGACTTACACGACATCTACCAGAACGTAGACCCCCTGAACTTCAGTTTTTTCAATCTCGGGTCTGAGTGGCGACTGGAGGTCTGTGGCACCTTGCACAGCTGAGGGTTTTTTTGTGGTCCAGTCTCCACTTCAGGGTGGTAGAACCCTAAACCCTAAACCCTAAACCCTAAACCCTAAACCCTAAACCCTAAACCCTATCGGGATTGGCTCTCACGAGGTGTCGGTGGCAACGACTTCGCCGAGCTGGCCGATGAGCTCGGTTTCGAGGCTCCGGTCATCATAG